ATTCCTGCTACTCTGCTGCTTACGCTGTTGAAGGTTATTTTGTTTCAGGGTGTGAATGTACATTAATTTCCTTATTACACAGTACCCCATGTTCTGCATTAATATCCTGTGTGGATGCTGCGGGAGGAATGTATCTGGAAGATTTAGACAATTCTCTTTTGGACATCTGAGTTATGATTGAGAGTCACTCCATGAAGAGAGAGAGGAGTTAGAAAGATGTTTTGCCCCATCTAATGCCTAAACTAGTTCGTGTGGCTCCTCCACAGAGTGCACTAAATGTGAAGTGGCTCCCCTCGCTTGAAAAGTAGAAAAGGTTCCTTAGATAAACTAAATTATAACTTTTTAGAGTATGCTCAGTGACTCGGGCACTTAACACTCAGAAGCCTGAATACATTCTGAATGGGCTGTAGTCTATTGGATGCTCTCGTTGCATGTTTTTTTCATAGAACAGTTCTAGAGAGAATGTACTTACCAAAGAAAAGTAACATTTGTTTTGTGGCTGTTTGTTGTTTGTTTGTTCTTTTAAACAGGCAGAAGAAGCAGGACTTGCTGTGTCTGTTTTGTTATGTGTGAGAGCCCTTCAGATCAGATCAAACGGAAGCGATGAAATGAAGACATCAGTATGTAAAACAATTGCATGCCTTTTACCAGAAGACCTTGAAGTTAGAAGAGCTTGTCAGCTCACAGAATTTTTACTTGAGCCAACTTTGAGTGGATTTAATGTGTTGGAAGAGCTCTATATGCAACCAGATCAAAAATTTGATGAAGAAAATGCACTGGTTCCAAATTCACTCCGTTGTGAGCTGCTGTTAGCTTTAAAAGCATATTGGCCATTTGATCCCGAATTTTGGGACTGGAAGACTTTAAAGCGGCATTGCCTTAAACTGTTAGGGAAAGTAGCTTCTGATTCCGAGGATGATGCAAGTTGTAATATGTCAATCAATGAAACCGACATGTTAGAAACCTTCTTTAGTGACTATGATGAGACAAAAGAACATAAATATTATGATGGAAAAGACACAATGAACCACCGTAAAGAAAAAGCAAGAATAAAAAAACCAATTGGTTCTTCAGAAAGATACCAGAGATGGCTTCAATACAAGTTTTTTTGTGTGCTCTGCAAAAGGGAGTGTATAGAGGCTAGAATACTGCATCATTCTAAGATGCATATGGAAGATGGTGTTTATACGTGTCCGGTGTGTACAAAAAAGTTCAAAAGAAAGGAATTTTTTGTACCGCATGTAATGGAACATGTTAAAATGCCACCTAGTAGAACACACAGACCTAAAAAGAAAATAATACTGAAAAAAGAGAGATCACCACAAAAGACAACAGCTTCCAGCAGCCCGCCCCCAGCATTTCAGGAAAAGTCACATCAGCCACAGCTGCCCGAAAATTTTGAAAATGACGCACATGAATATGTCACGTTTAGCCAACTGGAAAATTGCCAGCTACAAGACAGAGACATCTATCCATGTCCCGGAACGGATTGTTCTAGAGTATTTAAACAATTTAAATACTTAAGTGTACATCTGAAAGCTGAACATCAGAACAACGATGAGAATGCAAAACACTACTTGGATATGAAAAACAGGAGAGAGAAGTGTGCTTTCTGTCGCCGACACTTCATGACGTCCTTTCATTTGCGGGAGCACGAACGTGTGCACTGTGGACCTCAACCGTATATGTGTGTCTCAATGGATTGTTATGCTAGATTTGGGTCAGTTAATGAGCTTCTCAATCACAAACAAACACATGATGACCTTCGTTATAAATGTGAGCTGAATGGCTGTAATATTGTTTTCAGTGACTTAGGGCAGCTTTACCATCACGAGGCACAGCACTTCAGAGATGCATCATACACCTGCAACTACTTTGGTTGCAAAAAGTTTTATTATTCAAAAACTGAATTTCAGAATCATCTTGCAGCACATAATATTGAAGTGTCGAATGGGGAAGTGAAGCAAACACTAAAACTTGAAGAGTCAGTTTCAAAAGACAAATGCAGTTATCTTCCAGAGTCTCAGCTGCTTGAACAATCTGAAAATTCCAGTCTGAATGATAACTTGGATCCCTCAGGCTCTCAGGAAATTCCACAGATTAAGGAAGAAGCTCTCTCTGACAGTGAAGATCTAGACAGTGAAAGTAATTGCAGTCTTCCTTGTGGGGACCACAGCACAGATGCTGCAGTAAACCGAGGCCAGGTGTCTCCTCTACTGATTGAAACAATGGCTCACAATCAATCAGTTCCAGGTTTTCTCATGTCCCAGGAAGGAGTCTTCCATCCAGCAGATGTGAAGCAACAGTGTTCCAATGTGGCGGTTTGCTTTGATGAAAAAAAACTTTCCTGTGGTTTTGAAGGCTGCTGTTCCACACACAAAAATTCCAGAAGTATGCAAAAACACCTTCGCAGGGCTCATCCATATAACTTTAAAGGTAAAAAAAATATGGAGATGAAACCTAAAGACTTTCTCAATCTGTTAAGTGATGCTCAGGACAGTAAATCCCCTACAGACATTAATACAGAGTTAGGTCATAATTCAGATACAAATGCTGACTCTCCAGAAAGCTTGTATTGTACTATAGATGCTAAAGGAAGCAATGGCCTGAAGGAAGAAGCTTGTCCTTCTTCCCCAGAAACATCTTTTTATGACAGTTCCAAAGAATCAAATATTGAAGATAACATGTTGGAACTAATGTTAGGCTTGAAACATCTAAGCTTAAAAAATTCTAACATTCAGAATTCTTCAAGACACAAGCCTTTTTTGGGCTCTTTACAGTCCTGTTCATCTAGGGATGCCAAGTGCCCTGAGTCAGTAGATGAAACTACCTCAAAATTTCAGCTTCAGGAGCAACAAGATAATTTACCCAGCCAGTACCTTACTCAACTGGCAGCTAAACCATTTTTCTGTGAATGTCAAGGATGTACGTGTGAGTTTGTGACCAGAGAAGCTCTCTTAATGCATTATGTCAAAAAGCATAACTATTCAAAGGAAATGGTTCTTCAGTTAAATATGTTCCAGCATCGGTACTCACCATTTAAGTGTCATATTTGCCAAAGATCATTTACAAGAAAAACACACCTTCGAATTCACTATAGAAACAAACATCAAATTGGCTGCGAGAGGGTAGCTCACAAGGTATGTTCTAATGAAAAATTTGATCACGTAGGTTTATGTACAGATAACATGCATAAAAACAGCACTGTTCCAACACCTGTCTGTGCAACCAAGGTTGAGTTCGTTGAACATTCAGACCACTCTGAACAGTTGTGTCATCCTAAAAAGGAAGACTGTAGTTCCGAGACGGATTTGGAGTCCAGTGAAGAGACAGACAATAACGTAACAAGAAAAACATCTAACATAGCTTCTCTGGACAGTCATAGGGAAGAACTGGAAGCAAGGCAGGGAAGAGGAAGCAAAAGAACAGTTGCTAAAGGAAACTTATGTTACATATTGCATAAGTACCACAAACCATTTCATTGTATACATAAAAGTTGCAACTCGGCATTTACCAACCAGAAAGGTTTGATTCGCCATTATAGAACCGTTCACCAGTATAATAAGGAACAGCTCTGCTTAGAAAAAGACAAAGCAAGAACAAAAAGGGAACTTGTCAAATGTAAAAAAATATTTGCATGCAAACACAAAGACTGTGGTAAGCGTTTTTTATGTTCTAAAGCTCTTGCTAAGCATTGTAGTGACTTCCACAATGAACACTTAGAGGATCAAAAACTGCTTTCTGAAGCTGAATCTGCAAGATTTGCTTGTAACCAACCCCACTGCCCTGCTGTATTTTATACCTTTAATAAGCTTAAACAGCACCTAATAGAAGAACATGCCAATGAAGAAAAATTAAACAAAGATTTTGAAATCCATTGTGACCTTAATGGCTGTAATCGAATTTTCACAAATTACAGTCACTACTCTCAACATGTATATTTCCGACATAGTGAATATTATGATAGTCTCTTTGGAAATCAGAAAGAGGAGGAAGATAATCAAGATAAAGATAAAAATGAACAAAGTTATTTGAAGGACAGTTTTGACATAAGCAAGCAGAATGGGAAGCAGTTAAAAGAAAAATCTAAAAGAATTAGCAGAAGTAGAGAAAAGCATTTGATGAATTTCAAAACAAAAGAGGAAGCCCTACAAATGTGTGAAGAGAAGTCTAACCAGACCCAGTACCCTTGCATGGTTCAGGGATGTTTGTCTGTTGTCAAATTGGAAAGCAGTATCGTGAGGCACTATAAGCGCACCCATCAGATGACCAATATGTATATAGAGCAACGGATTCAGAAACTTGTTGTTTGTGTTAAATGCGGCATCATGATTGAAAAGCAGTCCTGCTCTGAAACAGCTTTAGACTTGGATAAAAAAGGTGTCAAAGTTAAAGAGGACAAATCAGCTAATCCTGAGTACGTGCAGGAAAGCGAAAAACCTCTTGTTGCAAATACTGACTGTGAGCGTCAAGATGTAAGCAATGAAGACCAAAAAAGATGTCCGTCGAGTAGTGTGAGTTTTGATGCGAGTGCCTTTATGTATTCAGGCACTTTAAAATACAACCACAGTTCAAAGAACACCTCTTTTGAAGAGCATAACATCAGGGAGACAGTTACGTGTAAAACTGAAGATTTTTCTGAAAATAGCGAAAGAGAGAATAGCTCTTATTTCTCCAGTTTACAATTAGAGTTGCCAAGAGAGAAGGACCCAGAAGGATGTCAACATAGCGCAGTTAATCAAAATGCAAAAAGAAATGTACTTTGTGCTACAAAAGACAAATTTCAGAAGCCTCCAGTGTCCAAACCATTTGATTTAAAGACGTATAAACCAATGGGATTTGAGTCTTCATTTTTAAAATTTATTCAGGAAAGTGAGGGAAAAGAGGACGACGATGATGATGATTTCGATGAGGTGGTAGAATGGGAGTCTCCTGAGCAGTTGCCGGCAGATAAAACCTTGCAAAAAGAGGGAGACGGTCAAGGGGATACACCAGTAAACAACTTTGTAAATGACAAAAATGTAGTCATAACCCAAAATAATCATGGGCAGCTATCAGAAATCCAGCCCTTGTTGTCAGAATCGTCATCTGCCCCTTCTTTAGAAAATTTGAGGGCGATCTTGGACAAGGCACTAACGGACTGTGGAGACCTTGCCTTAAAACAGCTTCATTACTTAAGACCAGTAGTTGTTCTTGAAAGATCCAAGTTTTCCACACCCCTCATAGACTTATTTCCAACAAAAAAGACAGATGAGCTTTGTGTAGGAAGTACGTAAGTAGTTTTGCTTAGAGCAGATTGCCTCCACTACTGCTATATGGGGAGAACTTCAAATTAGAACAGTAATTGTTACAGTACACACTGTTTAGGTTAGCTTAGACTGTTTAATTCCATGAATGTATAATATCTGTCAAAAGTATTGGCCAAGTTAATTTAGCTCCCCATTTTTTTCAATGGACTATGCTGATTTTGGTGCTATTTAACACATCAGAATGCTGGGGGCTTCCTCTTGAAGAGTAAATGTGCATGATTGTATATGGAACAAATACTAGGGTACCAGGGTTTGGGGGGCGATGGAGTTATTACTTGACTTGAATGTGCACCCTAGGGTGCTTTGTGTAACATATTGTACACTACAGCATCTTATATTTTTTGAGTTATGAGTTTCAATAAATTACAGTTTTTCACCCATTTGTTTACTGTACAGTAAATCTTTAATGTCGTTTACTTGTAATTGAATTTGGGACCATTCTGAGTGCATTGGACAATGTTGCTTAAGTTTTATGCATTTGTAGATAATTTATCAGACTGATGAAACGGTATAGATACAGAAAAGTAAAGTATTACGTTTTATTTTATAATATTCTCTGTGCTTTTTTCAGACTTGAAAGAATTATAATTAGTACAGGTAGAAAGCACTTGCCACTTAGAGATGAGAAAGTCCTAGTAACCTTTGCCTTTAAAGGAAGAAGATGCTTCTGAGAGTGTATGGTACAACATAAGTGTTTGAAGAGCATTGCCAGACTTCCAAGAGAGTTGTGTCACATGAAAGTATTAGTGCACATTTTGCGTTCCCTGGTTAGCTTTCTCAATAATGAATAAAACCTGGCTGGAAGTTTCACCAGAAGAGTAATCTAATATTTTAAGATCTGTTTCTTGTTCTTCCGTGTCTCCTTTCTTGCCGTACTTCTGGATACGCCGCGGGGCCTGGAATCTCTTTCCCCGGTGAGTGGTATTTCCCGATCTCCGTGAGGATGCTAATGAGCAAGCAGCAATCACAGCTTCTTATTGATTGAGGGCTTGGGTTTTGTGGGAGTGTTTTGGGTTTTATACTGTGATCTGAAAAGTAGCAGTGGAAAGGAAATAGAGAAGACTTTGGGAAATGCTTAAAACAGACCATGAATATTGGCTGGGTGCAGGAATGAAGAAGGCTTTCTAAAAAACTATCTGGAGAACTGTGTTATGACCAAAACTAGGCAGAAATGGCATCTTCATACTACGCTTACAAAAGTTATTTGGGCATCCTTGAAATGAAAGTTAGATTAAAAGTCATCCACCAAGCAGAAGAAGCGTAGTTTATTGCATAGCTTTTCCTGTCATTTCCTTTCTTTAAACTATAAGCTTCTTATAATGAAAGGAATACTGGTGCATGAATCTTCTCACTAGCTTTTAAAAATGGAAGTAAATTAGGGTCAAAAGGTTAAATACTGCAACAAGGTCAGACACCTGAAGTAGCTAAAGTGTGTACCAAAATGGTTTGTGTCTCTAAAAAAAAAAAAAAATTCTACCTTTTACTGTCAAGTTTGTGTCATATTGAAACATACTTGAATCTTCAGGATCTCGAAAAAGGAAAAGAGATTAAGTGCAAACTCAATAAACATGTGATGACTGCGTCAGGTAATGTGCCTACAGAGATGCCAGTACACCACGGGGTTTTTGAGTGTCCCACAAAGCAATCGGTCCCCTTCAATGCCTAGAGAAAGAAAACTGGTCAGCATGAATAGTAAATTCATTGAGGTTTTGAGTCTTCAGTTTCGGGTCAAGCAACTGTATTTCCACTAGATAACCAGAGCTTCAAATATGACAGTATTAAAGAATTCAAGCATTTAAAATACTTACTTTGAATGAGAGAAATTAGATGAGAATG